ACCTATCCGACAGTAGGTCCGATTTAAAAAAACAAGTAAACTATACCACCACCCCCGTCCTGTACTGCTTCCGATGCTCTTTTCCTGAGTCACTCATGTGGCAACTATGCTTTCCATTTCCTACCACAATGATCAAGATACAGTCAGAAGTGGAAACCTGATCATTAACCTAGGCTAACATATGCATTTATCATGAGTGCGATATTTTCAGGATGCATCCCTAAGCGCAAGAGAAGCAGGCGCAGTGACAGCGCCTGGGGGCTGGGGGGGGGGAGGGTCGTTGGGAGGGTCCACGGAGCAAAGGCCAGCGCGCGACTTGGGGCCGGGCACGTGGGCAGCCCCCTAAGTGCGAGGTGGCTTCTTGGCTGGAGTTCCCACCGCACACGCCCAGGACGGGCTTCCCTTCCGCTCCCCACCCCCGCGGCGGGGCCCACGAAGGACAAGCCGGGCGGGTGGAGTGGATACGGGGGACCAGAGCCAAAGACCAGGCTTCAGACGCCCGAGTGAGGAGTTGTCGGTACCCAACAGCCCAGCCACCTTTGCCTAGACAGTGCTTTTAGAAGCCACCAATGTTTAAAAATTCACAGGTTCTTTTTTTTTTTTTTTAATGTTTACAGTTTCTCCTGAAATATCAGATCTGGCAACATCAGAGTTTTTATCCATCCTAATACTTTGCACACCGTACAGAGTGCCTTATATATGTCTGTTGTTTATTCTCTGCCATGCTAAAACGCTCCTCTCTGCGCCCCCTCATTTTGGGGGGACAGGAGCCTGAAGAAGAATCTGAACTGCTTCTTTATCCCAGTCTCTTGGAAAAGGATGTCTTCCTAGTGCCTCTAGGTGTGGGTGGAGAAGGTTCCCTCCCCCACCCACCAGGGGATCAGCTTAGCTATCTGTGTTATGAGAACCACCCCCACCCCCCCACCCCCAGGCAAGTGGCTGTAAATTCTTCAAAACCCTGCGCAATTTAGATGGAGGAAGGTGCTTTTGGTTTTGGTTTGGTTTTGCTCTGATGGTAGAAGTGTTAGTAATGACATCCGGTGCTGAATTCTTTCTGGGGCCATCTGAGGTTGGATGTCAGTTACCACCTTTACACAGCTTCTGGGTCGGTCACTGCAGGCCAGGGTTCAAACCCAGGCCTCAAACTGCTTTTCGGTTTCTGGGCATTTCAGGGTGGGCTCTGGCCTTAGGTAGCTCAGTTGGTTACAGCATCATCCAATAATCAACCAGTGAATGCATATACAACTGGAATAACAAATCAATGTTTCTCTCCTCCCCGCCCCCCCCCCCCCAAACACACACCTTCCTCTCTCCCTCTAAAATCAATAATTAAAAAAAAAAAAAATTGGTCCAGCCGGGGTGACTCAGTGGTTGGGCATCAACCTTGGAACCAGGGGGTCACCATTCTGTTTCCTCAGGGTACATCCCCTGGGTGGGGCATGCAGGAGGCAGTTGGGCATTGATTCTCCTTCATCACTGAAGTTTCTCTCTCTCCCTCTCCCTTCCTTTCTGAAATCAATTTTTTAAAAATGGATTTTTAAAACGTGGGCTCTGGCTTGACACCTCGCCCCCAGAAATGGGATGGGGGGGGCAGCTCCTCCTCTGGGTGTTTTTTCACATCGGACTTCAGGCCACAAGAGCAGCGTGGAGAGAAGCTGATGCCTCGGTACAAGCCCCACACTTAATGAAGTTGGTGACATAGTCTGGGGGGTGTATAAAAGATCTTATGAACAGTGAACTCATACACCTACAGGTATCACCACAAACCCTTTACAGAGCTCCACAGACAACAGCGTGGCCTTGGCAGGATCTTACTGTTCACCAGGCCCACCAACTTAAAACTAAGCAATTATTTCTTTCATGGGGGAAAAGGCCCCTTAAAAATTAGTCCATATTCTGAGGGCCTGCTATGTCCTGAAAGGATGCTCAAATGCTTCTTGTCTTAACCCCTCTTGTTTTACAACAGAAGCAGGATTAGGGGGCCCAGGCCCAGGACCTTGAAGATCTGAGGAATCCACCTCCTTGGTCAGGGCTCATAACCACCATTGTTGCCCCCCCCCCCCTGCCCCCGCCGCAACCCCACACACAGACCTGTGTGTGCACCCCAGCCCAGCTATGGCCCTGCTCAGCATCAATGAACTGCCTGAGAACATCCTGCTGGAGGTATTCATATACGTGCCTGCCCGTCAGCTGGTATTGGACTGCCGCCCTGTCTGTAGCCTCTGGCGCTACCTCATCGACCTTATGACCCTCTGGAAACGCAAGAGCCTGCGTGAGGGCCTCATCAGCAAGGACTACGACGAGCCTGTGTCTGACTGGAAGATTTTTTACTTTTTGTGCATCCTCCGCAGGAACCTCCTACGCAACCCATGTGCTGAAGGTGGGCCGCTTCCTTCCTCCCTTTCGGGAACCTCAGGGCCTTTGCACTTGCTATGCCCATACTAGCGGGAATGTTCTCTCAAAGCTGAGCCCCCACCAGGCTCCCTTGTTTCCTCCTCATTCTTGAGGTCTCAGTTCAGAGACCTGCCCTGGTCCATCCAGAAACAGTGCTCCCTACCCCAGTCCTATCACCCCCATTTAATTCCTTCATAGCACTTTTCATACCCTAGAATTACCTTTTTATCTCTCTTTTTTTCCCTTCAAGTTCCAGGGACCTAGTGAGTCTAGCTTGCCACAGTACACCCAGGGTCCACAATTACACCTTCACATAGCAGGGGCTCAAGAAAACGTTCGTTGAAGAATCAACCAACTTCAGGTCCGCCTTTCCCCCTTTAGCTCAGTCTAAGCTGGCTAACGTTTAGGAGGCTTCCTCTACGGGCCAGGCACTAGCCCGAACTCTTCCCAAATGTCAATAATCTTCCCGTTACCCTAATTATACAGACGAAAATGAGGATTTTGAGAGGTGACTGCAATCACATCATTTGAGTTCCCTGTTTAGCTCAAGTTCTCTTTTATTTGCCAGGGTTTTTTCCTTTGTTCAGTACCTACTACATACCAGGCACCTTGCTCCTTATTGGGGCCACGGCAGCCGTTGATGCAGAGGCGTTGTTTATAGACTTGGAATCCCTCTCATGTCTGTTTTCTCTCTTTATCCTCACGTGGATCCCAGGAGTCGGCCGCATGAGGAGGGTTAGCTCCATTTTGTAGATGAGAATGTTAGGCCGCAAGCAAGATGTGTCTTGCCCAAAGATCCAGAAATGGCTCAGCTGCTGGAGGCCCTCAGGCCCCTCTCAGAAGCTGCCCAGCCTGGCCACCAGCTCAGCTCACAACCCCAGCCTGCAGCCTTGCCTGCACGGGGCCCTGTATTACCCGTCTGGCTCTCTACTGGGGGGACCCTGGACACACAGGGAATAGATGTGGGTTCCTTGTAGAGGGAGCAGGGGGGTCATTTGGAAAAGCTCCCCTGGTGATTGTTCTGAAAAACCTTGGTGAGAAACATGCCAGTTTTCTAAGTTCCTCTCAGCTCTCTCTGAAGAGGGAGACCAGGACATGGTGAGCCAACCTGGTGGGGATGTTCCCATGAATATGGGGTTACTACATGCCACCAACTCAGAGGGCACCCATTCTCCCAATTATCATCCCTCCCACCCAGGCCAGAGGTTCCTATGACCCAGCAACAAACCGCACACCCTTCAGATCTCAGTTACATAGTGAGGATGTCGAGGGGGATGTCAGTTGTCAACTGAGTGATCCCCACTGGGACAAATTCACATTCGCCATTAAGAACAAAAGTATCAGCACAGGCCCTTCATAATGTTCTGAAGAACTGAAACTTGGGTATTTCCCAAAGGGCATCAGCAACATGAAAGTGAAAGTAGTTCCCCCGCCCCCCGCTTCATGTAGGAGTCAAGCTGGTCAGGCACAAGGGGGGGAGAGGTGGGAATGGGTGGGAGTTTAACTTTGTAGGGGTGCTCCAAGGCACAATTGGGGTGCACACCTGGAGATCGGAGCATGAGCAAGCCCTGCATTTCACCCTCGTACCAAATGGGGAGGACCAGGCTACACATTTACTAGGCTTCTATTTTTCCTAGAGGGTATGAGATCCTGGAAAATCGACCGCAATGGGGGGAACCACTGGAAGGTGGAGAGCTTACCTGGAGGCCATGGGCAAGGTTTTCCTGACTCCAAGGTCAAGAAGTACTTCGTCACATCTTATGAGTAAGAAACTGAACTGAGCCGGCTGTGTCGGAGGAAGAGGGTCGGGACACCTTTTGCCAAACCCCAGGCCTACCTACGTCAGGGCCTCTGTGAAGCTCAAGGGAGGTGTTCCCCAAACCAGCTCAGTCTACTGCCTCCTGGGGCAGAAGTAAACTCAGTGACTGGGGGTGGGGATCGGTTTAAGGGGGCTGGGAGCCCCTGGGGCAGTGGGCTGTCAGGAGTGTCCACAGGCTGTCCATAACCGAGGAACGTGAGTTCCTGGGGCCCCGGGAGACTGGGCGTATGGATTGGGATCGGGTGCTGCCCAGGCACAAGGGAGTCAACTCCCTGCGTATTTCTCATGGGCCCACACCGAGGTCGGAGCCAGCGTCAGCACCAGCCAGGAGTCAGGGGACACACTGCTGGGTCCCTGAACCACCTCCCTGGGTGCAGGCCACGCAGAGCACACCTAGGAATACAAGCTTTTCCTTCTCCCCAGGTTATGCCTCAAGTCCCAGATGGTGGACCTCAAAGCTGAGGGCTACTGGGAGGAACTAATGGACACAATCCGGCCTGACATCGTGGTGAAGGACTGGTGAGTGAGGCCCGGCCCCACATTGCATCCTCCCCTTAACCTGAGAACACCTGGAGGGAGTGCCCACTCTGCCCAGCAGTGTCCTAAGGCAAGGGTAGTCCCCGAAGCCAGGCCAGCCCGGCTGGCTTGTTCCCCATCCCCTCCTTCCCCCCAACACACACTTCCTGTGGACAGACCCAGCACTTGCTCATCCAGCAGCGCCTCCTGGCCTCCCCACCATCACATCAGCAGGGGATAAACCTTAACTCCAGTTTACAGATGGGGAGACTGAGGCCTACAGGTGAGTTAGCTCAGACACGCACGAGAGCAAGACACCCAAGACCCAGCCTTCCCGGACCTCACATCTGCGCACATGCCTTCTCACTGCCTCCCCTGCCCCCTCCCACCATTTATCCCACAACTCTTTCTCAAGCTCCTCTCTGCACAGAGCTGTGCCAGCCGCTCTGCCTCGGCCCATGGCAGAAGCAGGGCCCCAGGGCCACCACTCTGAGGGTGGAGGGATGGGATTTGAGGGGTGTGCAGAACTGCTGGGGGCGGGGGAGATAGCAGGGCTGAGCTCTGTGCCAGCCCACACCACACAGGCCACCCCTTGAATCTCCCATTGAACCCACAGCCTGGCCTTTACTATCTCTGTAGAGAGCCTTTTGCCTTTTAAGATGCAATCTCTGAAATACCCAAAAGCGTTGCCCTTTTCTCAGATGGGGTAACTGAGGCCCGGCACAGATAGAGACTGCACACCCTGGGGGTACAGGGAGCACTGAAGGTGGACCCCATGGGCCCCATAGGGAAACGAAACTCCAATTTGTAAGCCTGTTGCCTGCCCACCGCCAGGGCCACCCTTTGTCTTGGGGTGCAGTCCTGAAGCCCAGCCTCCCCTAGGTTCGCCGCCAGAGCAGACTGTGGCTGCACCTACAGCATCCGAGTACAGCTGGTCTCAGCCAACTACATCGTCTTGGCCTCCTTCGAGCCCCCACCTGTGACCATCGAGCAGTGGAGTGATGCCCAGTGGAGAGAGGTGAGACCTCAGCTGCTAGCCTGCCATCCACTTCCCCCAGGGCCTGGATGCCTCAGCTCTCCCACCTGGGACTCCCCCTTCTCCTCTCCAGTTGAGTGGTCTCCCCATCTCATCCCCTCCCCAGTCCTGGTGGTCACTCCCTCTCCCTTCCTTCCAGGTCTCTCACACCTTCTCAGATTACCCTCCAGGCGTCCGCCACATCCTCTTCCAGCATGGGGGCAAAGACACCCAGTACTGGGCAGGCTGGTATGGGCCCCGTGTCACCAACAGCAGCATCACCATCAGCCCTAAGACAACCAGGAGCCCAGCAGCCTCCACAACTCAGCCCGAGACCATGCAGGAGCAGGAGCAGGGGCAGGGGCAGGGGCAGGAGCAGGGGCAGGAGCAGAATCGGGAACGACAGCGACAGGGGCAGGAGCAGAATCGGGAATGCGTACTTGAATAACCTGTTCTCCCGACTTCGTTCCCGCATGAATAACCTGTTCTCCCGACGGATCTGATAGCCTTTCATCTGCCCTCTGTCCCCGCCAGCTAAGTCTTTCATCTGCCCTCTGTCCCCGCCAGCTAAGTGCCAAAGGTCTCCTCCAGGCAAGAGATGAGCCTGTGGTGGGCAGGGAGGCTCTTGCCCCGGGACCTCCTGCCACAGTTCTAACCCTGGGCAAACCCACTGTTGTGTGGCTCTCACTTCTTGTCATAATAAATGTTCCCAGTAAAACCAGCCTGGGATTGGGTCTAGGGGTGGAGGGTAGGGGGTCCAGGCACTGCACCTGCCCCTCCCACTACAATTAGTGAGCGCCCAGGTCAGCCCTTGGGGCCCTTTATTGAAACAACTCACAGCACAGTATTTGAGACAGACAGTGTTGACCGGCTGAACCCCAGGAGGCTGAGAAATTGAGATCCCAGCACCTTCCTGCCCTCCTGGGGGGCCATTCCTCCGTGAAGGCATCCAGACCTGAGCAGCTCCGGGCTGGAGGATGGGCAGTCCGCACAGAGGCAATAAGAGCACTTGGAAGCGGGGTGGCCCTGCAGCGCTGCCCGAGGCTGGGGGCCCCCAAAGTCCGATAGTTGTGGCATCCATGGGGGCAGACACACCCTCAGCTGTTCTTATGAGCTCGTTCTTCCACGTAGAGCTGCATCTAACGGACAGGAACACACAGCCGTGTCAGGTGGCAGTCCGGGCGCCTATATGGAGGGTCTGCAAGCCCCTGGCAGGCAGATCTCTCTCTCTCTCCAAGTGTCAGGTTGCATGGCCACAGCCGGGATGGGAAGGGAAAGGGGATGGGAGGAGCCTTATGCCAGGTGTTGCCTGGTAACCTCCAAGCTTTGTCCACGAGGCCTTAAGCACACCCTAAATAAAGTAAACCTGGTCCCCACGCAGCTCACCTTTAAAATGTCTGATGTCATGGTTTTTAGGGGTATCAGCCGGGGGTCATGCATGTGGACATCCTGCTCATCTGCCAGGATCCAGGGGAAGTCCTAGGGAGAATCCAGGTGACGGGGTGGAAGGGCGCTGGACCCGCCTGCCCTCCCTTTGCCTTCCCCCTCTACCTCCAGAGCTGGGGCCCTCAGACTTTGGGGACCATCAAATCACTAGGGAAGCCCTGACCAGTTTGGCTCAGTGGATAGAGCGTCGGCCTGCGGACTGAAGGGTCCCGGGAACCTAAGTGACTTAAGCCCAAGCACCAATTCTGAAACTGCTCAGAAAGGAGAACCTCACTGAGGCAGCTGATCAATGTTTCTCTCTCATCGATGTTTCTAGCTCTCTATCCCTCTCCCTTCCTCTCTGTAAAAAATCAATAAAATATATTTTTAAAAAATCACTAGGGAAGTGCAGAATCCTGGGCTCCTCCACTAGACAGGCCACGCATGCGGGTCAGAGCTGGGCTGGGAACCTAAGTGACTTAAGCCCAAGCACCAATTCTGAAACTGCTCAGAAAGGAGAACCTCACTGAGCTGGGGGCCCCAGCACACAGCCCACTCCTCCCAGTGCTGCATGCCCAGGTGTAGCAATGGCAGGCATGTGGCCGCAGTGAGCACACAACCAGAACCTACTGGGTGCCAGGCACTGTCATAAGCAACGTTATGGGTGCAGTGCCCACGGGCAGCACCCCTGCCCACTGGGAACTGTGGCATCGGCTTACCAGAGCCTCCCGCTGTCTCACTGCCCACCCCCCCTGACCAGTCTCCTCTCACCTTGATGACCTGGATCTTCTCCATGTTGCGAGTGGCAGCTTCCCTCGTGTGCACCAAAACCGTGAAGGTGCAGCCTGAGGAGGCAAGCGTGTGATCAAGGCTGGGCCACACCATGCCTGCCACTGGGCAGAGTCTCTTCCCACTTCCCTAGTGGCTCAGCAGCCCCAGGGTTCAAAGTGTAAAGAAAGCAAGTGTTCAGACAAGACACACGTAAACAGAGACTGAAGACAGAGTGGAGTTAACCAGGGAAGTTCCTGGAGGATGTAGACTTTGAAAGGAGTTCTAAAAAGCAGGAAGAGACAAGGCTCAGAGGAACTTGAGAACACAGACCAACCCAAGGTAGCCATGGAAACGCCCAGGGAAGAGGCAGGAGAAGGTGAGCTCACCTGGGGGGTTGTGGTCCAGGACAGCATCACACACGCTGATCTTCAGGATGAAAGCTCGGAGCAGCTGCTCCACGTGAGACAGCAGGGAGTCTGAGCTGGGAAGGAGAGAAGAGGCAGGTCTTTTATCGCACTGGTGCCCCCCTCCACAAGCAGACAACCCCAGAAGCAGATGAGGGGGTCCCGAGCCCCTCTAGTCCTTCTGACTGTTGGCTTCTAAGGGGGCTACCTGTCACCAGGGGAGTTTAAAACCAGTGCAGAGCCCCATCCCAGACTATTTAAGCCAGGATGGGGGAAAGGGGTGTAGGGAGCCCCTATAGGTGGTTCTAACATGCTAATGTCCCCTTTCCCATCTGAGGACCAGGACCCCAGCCGTGAGGGCAAAGGGCTTGCCCAAGGCCATTCTATTGTCCTGACCTCACCACAGGAAGCCGGCAGCTGACCAGCCAACATTCCTGCCCAAGGTTAACTTTTTAAAATATATATATTTTTATTGATTTCAGAGAGGAAGGGAGAGGGAGAGAGAGATAGAAACATCAATGATGAAAGAGAATCATTGATTGGCTGCCTCCCGCACACCCCCAACTGGGGATCGAGCCCACAACCCAGGCTTGTGCCCTTGACCGGAATCGAACCTGGGACCCTTCGGTCCGCAGTCCGACGCTCTATCCACTGAGCCAAACCAATTGACTATGGATTACACCGCTTGATGGGAAGTTAGGACCCTGGATTGTGTCCTGGCTCTGCCACCATTTGGGTGACCCTGGGAGTTCATGTCACATCTCCGGACCTCAGTTTCTCCGTCTATAAAAGAGGAGGTGGGGACTAGCCATTCACCAGTGCCATGGTTTCCCACGTGTGACACGGGAGGGTCTCCATGGAATCTGTGTGAGGTCCAGAGACCACGGGGCAGCCTGCCTGCTATGTGGCATGCCTTGCATTTCCCCAAGGTATTCTGGGAGCTGCTTAAAGGCATGAAGGTGGGATATTCCTAAGGACCTCGCACCATCTAGCAGGTGGATGGCGGGGAGGCGGCTCACCTGATGGACAGCAGTGGAGGCTGGGTGATTTCAAAGACGAATTTCTCCACGGGGCGATGCTCTTTGTCCAAAATTACCACCACCACTTTCTCCACATCATTCTGCAAGGACAGAAATCTCCTACTCCGGAACTGGGTGCCCCCCCACCCCAGGAAGGGTGGGAAAGGGCCCACTCACAGCCCTGCTCCGCCTCTGGCCCCCGGGTCCCCCTGGAGAGATGTTTGAGAAGTTCAAGTAGGCACTCCCTGACATGAGTGGTACAGGCTGAGGGGAGAGACTACCTGGGCCCCTTAGGGGTCACAGAAGACACAACAGAAGGAGGAAAGCCTGAGGGGCGAAGCCCAGATGGAACTTGGGGGTGGAGGGAGAGAAACAGATGTGAGAACCCAGAACCCTCCCAGGCAGGCCCCACTCGGAACCATCCACTATGGCTCTGGGCCCAGCACACCTTTCACAGAGCCCAGCACACCTTTCTCTTGGCCCACGTGCCCTGGGGCCTGTCCTTGGGCTGGGGGTCTCCAGGGTGCAGGAAACAGGCCTCTGGGTGTGATAGTCCTGGGTCCCCTGCCAGGTCCAGCATCACCCCATCCCATGTCGGGTGTGAGGTGGGCTGGTGCCCTCACCTTCTCCAGGAGCGGCTTGACACAGTGCAGCGTGTCCTGGATATACTGGTTCAGCTCCGGGTGGCAGGACATCTGCGCACAATGCCATGATGGCTGGTGAGGCCCCAGCACCTCTGGGGAAGCCTCCCCCATCCCCTCCAGGAGCCCAAGCCTGTCTGCCTTCGGAGAGAAGCCCGGCAGCTCCCCAGGCTTCCCACCTGAGAGACCAACTTCCCATCATGGGGCTCAGAACTCTGAATCACCCACAGAGGGGAGAAGCCAGAAGGTACGAATTCAGGCTCAACGTTAGCACTTGCAGCGTGAGGGTTTCCTAACGTGGGGTCCTTCAGCTCCTCCAGAGTCTGAGAAACCCCTACGTTGTGTTTGAGTATATGGGCATTTTCTTTAAGAGAAGGGATCCAGAAATCGAATCAGTTTTCAAAAGTTAAGAATCTGGAACGAAGGAGCCCTGTGGCCTTAGACAAATCGCCTCTCTGAGCTTTAATAAACTTCGTCTGTGAAGATCTCGAAGGAAGAGTGAGGATTCAGCGAGGTATGTGCCTAGTGGGTGCTCAGGCGATGCTGCTTCTCTTTTCCTTTTCCCAGTAACTCCCCGAGCTCCACCACCTTCCAGCATTCAGTCCTTTCTTCTAATGTTTACTGAGAGCCTTGTAAGGGGCAGGCACTTCTAGAGATTGGGAATCGAGTATTGTGGGGCTTTGTCTCCCTTTTAACCTACAATTAGGGAAAGTGAGGGCAGAGGGAAGGTGCCTGAGGTTTACAGAAATCCTCTCCCCCAACCAACCTCAGGGCAACTTCAAGACCAGCTTCAAGAACTCTTTTAAAATACAACCATGCCCCAGGGCAACTCCCTGGGAAGGCCTGGTCCCTAACTCCTGGAGGGGAACTCCCAGCTCAGAGGGGATGGAAGGAGCCGCTGCAGCAGCGGGGGTTGGGAGGTTGTCAGGCTGCCAGCCGCTGCCAGGACCTGGAGGCCAGGTCCCCCGCGCTGGAGAACGAGGGGGCTGGGCCTGAAGGTGGAACAGACGCTTCACATCCACTCCCTGCCCACTCTGTGATTAGGGGGTGACCCGGTGGCGCCGGCCCGGCTGTGGGGGCTCACCTGGACAGGCACGTTGTACTTCTTCCGCTTCTGGAAGATGCCCACCGGGTAGACCTCGCGCACGTAGAGGATCAGGTGCACGGCCACCTCCAGGAACTCGCACA